AGGCAAATTGAACCTCGCATCTCGTTTTTTATGAATAGGCAACATGCCACATCAGTCTTGGATAATACAATTTTGCCTACGTGAATTGTCTATACAAATTATAGATTGCTCTTAAAGCGTAAACAACAAAAGGTTGCAAAATGATGCTCTCCTTTTGCCCTTTATTACCAGGAATTATATAGAAAAAAATAAATAATAAAATGAGAGAAATTTTTTAAGATAAAATACTTTGTAAAAAAAAAAAAAAACAAGTTTTGAGGAGTAAATACATAAGTGTGATGCATGTTAAGGGATCAGGATACTCTCTTGGTCGTTCACCACAGATCGAACGGTTACAATCCCGCCCAAACTCTTGTTCTTTGCCTTCTCTCTCTTCTCCCGTTCTCTCACCAATCCATTTCCAAAATTATTGCCTTTTTAGCCAAAATGATCACTAAGATTGACGTATTTTTGTTTCTAAATGAAATTGGTAGAAGTGATCATTGAGTTTGTCCGTTGTAAATCATGTTGTTTATTCCGTAAAAAACTGTTAATATCCTTGTTAAGTGGAGGGATTGGTTTGATAAAAAAAAATCTTAAAAAGTGTTCACGTGACAATTTAACTAAAATATTGACAAGTATTTAACGGAATGACCAAAATGAGTTACGGTAGACAACTCAAAGACCACTTCTATCGATTTTCATTATCATAGACCAGTGTAAAATTATGATATTATGTCAATCTCAATGATCATTTTGGCTAAAAAAACTCAAAACTATTTAACACCAACAATTACTTTTCCCTCTCCTCCCCCCCTTCTCTCCGTCATCCTCGCTCGTGTGGCATCATCTCGTCACCTCCACGCCAACAGCTTCTCTTTGCTAGACTAGGCAGAAGAGGTCGTAAAGGACGGGGTGATTATGTCACGACGATGCGAATAGAGGACCGAGAGGCGGTAGGTGTTGTGAGAGGGAAATTGAGAGGGGAAGAAAAGAGGTTGGAGTAGGCAGTGGTGGGTTGTAGGGGGAGTTCAAGGTCGGTGAAGGTGGATAAAAAGAGGAAGAAGAAAAGCAGGGATCGACTTGATCGTACCCGTTCGATATGTGGTGAACGGCCATGATCAATTGATTTCAAGAGTCTGCACATAAAGGATACGGAGAGAATCCAGGTCCTTGGTTAAAGACTTTATGTCACAACAATCAATGACCTTGCATTTATCAAATTCAATTTAGCGGAAAAGACATGCACACACACTTTTCAAATTCCAATCAGATTTGGGGTCATGAAAAATCTCCGCTAGGCGGCTGGTCATCGCTCTAATTAATGTTTAGGTGCTTAAAAATTAAGAAAGAGTGTCTAGACTGTCTAGGCACCCGCCTAACCCGCTCAGACCCACCTAGGCACGGATTAGGTTGCGACTCACTTAGACAGAAAATAAATAGCTTTCATTTTATTTTATTTTTTCAATCAATTGTAAATACTTGTTGAATACTTAAATGAACACACATTATATGTTTGTTCCTCATGTTTTAATTATATCCAATACTTCATAATATATATGTCATTCTATTTTGTAGTTTATGATGAAATTATATATATTTTAAGTATAAACAAACATTTATTTACACGAAATATAGTAGATTTATCTAAATCCGCCTAGGATATAAGTATGATATATGTGTATAAGAAAAATTAGGAGTGGAGAAGGATAATGTCGTAGATGTAAATATATGTGCAAGAAAAATGTACATAAAATGAAAATTAAAAACCATTTTAAACACAGTTCCAACTTTGAGGAGGAGCAACTTACGCAATTGCACATAGCCCCCTCCTCCTTCTTCCAAAACGTTCCAAATTTTAGCTAATATATGATCACTTTAATATCACTTGTTGTTGCAATTTGGATTAGTATTTATAGTTTCTACTAAATTATTTATCATTTGTTTTGTTTCATGACTTCTTTTACATGTCCGCTAATGAATTCGTAGATTGATTTTTGTTATAAATTTTCTTTGTAAGTCCTCAAAGAGAAACATCAAATAAGCTAAGACCTCGTTTGTAAGTCCTCAGATAGGCTTGTGATATGCCCGCATATGATGGTGTAGCCTCCCCTCCTCCTGAATGTTTTGTTACCGAAATTAAGAAAAAAAAAATGGAGAAACATCATTACTCATTTAGTATTAAGTGGCGGGACATATTTAGATTCATTTCCTCTTCAAATCATCTGATGATACGAAGATGATGGATGATTCATCATATAAATAAATAAACTGGTTACTAATTGGTACTTGATGTTTTCTTGGAAGAATTTGGATACATGGTAGTTTTTATGTTTCAAGGTCAACGAGATTTTGTGCAATGTGAATTATTGTGTGGGATAAAGTCAATGATTTTTTTTTTTTTGGAACAAACGATATTATCTATACTAAATGGGAGGGTGTGTGCTTAGCCTAACAATGCATTAGCAATAATGTTGTTCAAATTCGCTTTTGGCAAAAATCGAACTTAAAACCTCTCACTTACAAGTGAAAAGGAATACCACTAAACTGTAGTACTAAATAAATAAAATCAATGATTTTGATATATGGCATTACACGTATGCTAGTGGTTTAGCAACCACTAAACAGAGTCTTGAGTATATGGCATATTCTCTTAATACGCTCAATTGGTATAATTAGGGCTCAAATTAAGCTACGGGTTCAACTTTTAAATAATTTGAATATTGTCCATAGAAAATAAAATTATTTGAATATTCAGACAACCATAAATAGAAAATTAAACACAAAAAATGAGGAAAATTGTCACAGCCCGTTCCGAGAAATAATTATCGTGGTTGTGAAAAGACGAATTTACCCTTGAGCGTTGGGTGTGTGTTTGTATTTTGGGTTAAGAAATTGCGTCAATTAGTTTTATCCCTAACTAATTGGACCCAATTAGAGCTAAAAGATTAAAGAGTTTTGATTAGTGTACATTTTGGAACCACACACACACATCCATACCTTTTCTCTCTCTTCTCTCCCGTACTCTCTCTCGGACTCACTCTCTCTTCCATCTCCTTCGTACGGACAACCTTGAACCAAGCCAAATCTTCACAAATCGAGGAAGAAAATGGTACCATTGTGTTCGTGAGGACCATACGAGTTCAAAGGTACCCATTTCAGGTAAGAACGTGTTCGATATCACGTTGAAAACTCAAGCTCCGAGTTAAGCACTATTCATGAACTTTTGAATGGTTACATTTTAGGACAATCCAAGCTCACAGCTAGCTCTAGGACGTTCTCACGAAGCTCGGAGTACTTCGTTGGCTCACATCAAACTTTTGAATGGATACATCTTGTGTTATTTACATTATTTGCAGATTCACGGTCGGATTTACGTTGTTCCAAGATCTCCGGTTTTGTGCATCAACATAATGGATTGAATTAAATTAGGACAGGCTTATTTACACTTTTAGAAAATTAAATGATACTTAAATTGTTCTAAGTATGAGATAAACATACTCAATTCGTCATGATATTTTGTAGAAATTGGGAAAGGAACACATAATTCAGCATGAGGCCTGACTTATTTCTTTCATGCCTTTGTTGGTTGGTTGACAAATAATTTGTCAATGATAAAAATGACTTGCATACCTTGCCTTTTCACTAATAGTAAATAAACATGTGATGATGGAAAAACTTTCAAAGCAGGAGATTTCAAGTTATGTGAAGAGATGAAAGTTGTACCCCAATATTCATTAGCACTCCAATTTAGTGGCATTTTCCTATAAGTATGAGGTCTCAATTTGAATCGTATGAATGACGAGTTTATACTGCCTTTGCTTGAGTCTTAGCCTCTTAGAGCAGTTCCACCCCACGCAAATTGCTTGGGCTATTAGGCCATCCAATCCCCTAAGCTCCCCAAAAGCACTCCACCCTGCCCAATTAGCTGGGCTATAGCAAGCCCGACCAAGCACACAGGCTAGAATAGCCCAACCTTGTGACTGCGTTTGATGTCAGGCTGACGTTAGTCATGTTAAATTTTTTTGCGCTAGGCACATGAATTACACGCGCAAGAATTTGGGAGTGAGCAAACAAGAAAACACTGTTGAAGCTCGCGCTATAGGCACACTAAGCACTTCAGAAATGGGTGCTATGTGGCTCACTTTGTGCCGTTGGATTTCCAAAGGTTAATAAAATTTGAATTCAAATCTAACAGCGAGGACATGTGGCGAATTTTGGTCAGTTAGATATCTTGATCAACGGTCCAGATTTTTTGGGCTTATAAATTAAAAAAAAAAATCAGAAAAAAACTATTATTATTGTTGGGATTACATGCCAAAATCTAGGTCTTTGGAAAAAACATATAATGTAATGCAACGGTCCATATTAATTAAGTTAGATAAAATTTATAAAACAACTCAGAAAAATATTAAAAAGAATTATAATTTTTCCTATAAATGTACTTGAAAAAGTCTATTCATAAAAATTGTACTTTCGGATAATGAAACGTGGCGTGAAGAGATTGATTAAAAATCATATCCAAAATTAAAGGCAAAATTAACTTTTACTATTTTATAATAAAAAAGTAATATTTTAATAACAATAGCTTGGACAATTCAGTTTAGAGATAAAAATGCACTTAAGCCAGTAATTGCCTTGGCTGAATAGCCTGGGCAGTAATTGCTTGGAGTGGAGTTGTTCTTGGAGTAGGTTTCTCTCCCCTACCATTACCATCCTCTTCCATCCCCTCCTACTCTTCTTTTTATGTTTTTCTCTACATAAAAAATTCAAAATAAAATGTAGATATGACGTAATCGTAACCGTTTAAATTGAAGGGGATGGAAGGGAAGAGAGATTAGGAGGGGAGAGAATCATACTCCGTTGCTCTTAGGTACATTTAGAAGTTTCTTGTAAATAAAGAAATATAACAAAATCGATTGGGTTGGGCCTTGATAGCTAGGTGGGCCAGGTTAATACTATTTGGGCAACACACTGAACCGAGTTAGTTGAAGAGCGCGCATCATTAGATCGGTATCTGTTCCGCACTCAATTCCTCTTTCCAAATCCGAAACCCAAAACTCCCCACACAAACCACAAGCGCTCGTTCCTTTCGGTTCTTCTTCACTATCATACTGGGGACCTAGGGTTAGGGGTTTGGGCGCTCAGGGTTCAAGTCCTAGCTGCAACAATGGTCAGGTACAGAAGCCGAAGCAGAAGCTACAGCCCTCGTCGACGTAGTCGGACTCCGCCTCGCGGACGCAAGCGATACGACGACGAGCCGCGTGATCGACACCGTGACAGTAGGTCTCACAGAGACCGTAGTTCTCCCGCACCTTCCGGTTTGCTCGTTCGCAATCTCCCTCTCGACGCTAGGTATATATGTATATGTATCTCTCTCTCATCTCTGTGTATGCATAGATATGTATATATATTTATGTAGTTTATTCTTCAAATGCGTGACTAAAATTGGGTTGTAATTATGAATGATTGGTATTTTTTTAGTAATTTTTTGTGCTTTACTTTTCAAAATATGGGATTGTGTGTTAATCTCTTGTTAATGGTAATACTAGTATATTATCGAAGAATAAGTATATTATTACATGGTTATAGACTTAATCCTTCAGCTAGTTGAGTTAATTACAACAAGTTCATTAACCCCAAATTACGTATACATGTCTTTTTTATTTTTTTTTGCATTACGAAAGATCCAGGCTTATTCATTGTATACCTGTTATATGCAGGCCAGAAGATCTTAGGATCCCATTTGAGCGATTTGGCCCAGTAAAGGATGTGTATCTTCCTAAGAATTACTACACAGGGTATGCCATTCTTGATTGTTATGGCGTGAATTATTGTACGTAATGCGATTCTTCTTCTGCCGTGGTTCAGTGGTGTAAAACTTGCACGCTGGAATAGATACTCCTGCGAAAGTTGATATATTTCTGGGTTTTCTGGATAACACAAATGTAAGTTATTTTTACTCAAGCGTTTCTACTTTCCATCCATAGGGAGCCACGGGGTTTTGGGTTTGTGAAGTACCGTTATGGTGAGGATGCAGCAGAAGCAAAGCAACAACTGAATCATACAGTTATTGGTGGGCGTGAGATAAGAATTGTGTTTGCTGAGGAGAATAGAAAAACTCCGCAAGAAATGCGCACAACTACTCGCGTAAGGTACATTGTATTTGGCTCCAATACTACCCCATAGTTTATTATGCCTCCCCAAATATAATTACATATTCACTTCATGAAAACAATTTTTAATTTATTTTATAATGCAATTTTTATTTTATTTTATATTTATCTGCAGTAGTCGACATGGAGGAAGCTCCAGAAGGAGAACTCCACCGAGGTCCCCAAGACGGCAATATCGTTGTCAGTTTTAACTTGTACTTGGCAGTTTTTGATCGACATGCATGATTTTATTTCAAGTCCTTTGTGAAATAATTTTGCTCCTATTTTTCTTCTAAACCGTCGTCAAACTTTTTTGGTCACAGCTTACTCGCCATCACCATCACCTGTTAGGCGTGATTCAAGGTCTGTATATTATCTCTAGATGTATCTTTTATTCATTAACACTGTTTTCTTTTCTATTACACCGTAGTCTGTGTGGATGGGTGGTTACTCCTTTCAAGGGTGGGGTAGATTCATCAGCGACAGGTTCATGTGGCCATATAATTTTTTCCAAAATTGATCAATGGTTATAGTTTTTGAATTCTTGTTTTCATGAATGAGTACAATAGAGGGTGATCACATTTTCATTGGAAAATCTCTGAATCCAACTTTTATGTTCACATACCTGTGTTTCTGATGAAATTGCAGAATGAAATCTTCTTTAGGTATGGAGATCGCATCTTTTGCATGTATCATGTGTTTAGTGAATTGTGTAATATTTTCTGGTGGCCTTGTTATACAGATATAGTTTAAAGACTTCTGGATTAGTAAAGTTTAATGAGAAAAGAGATCATACAAGTGATGGGAAACTTCTTTATCTTCCGCCAATGCTCTCCATAAGTACTATGGTGGATATTTAAAGACTTCTGGATTAGTAAAGTTTAATGAGAAAAGAGATCATACAAGTGATGGGCAACTTCTTTACCTTCCACCTATGCTCTCCATAAGTACCATCTATATCCACCATCAACTTTCATCTACAAATGGCATTGGGATCCTATTGTTATGACTTCGGTTTGTGAGACCTTTCTACGACCGACTGAACTGACAAGCTAAACAGGGTGCTAGAGATATTGGAATCTTTACTAGTATATATTTACTTTTCCTTCTTATATTAGCTGTTTAAGTAAGTTTTTGAAGAAAATTTGTTAAGTTTGATATCTTGTTTTGCATATACCATCCAGTAAAGAAAGAATATAAAGCTTATAGTTGGCCAAAGAAAGAAAGAAAGAAATCATCTACAAAGAAATGAAGCCACTCAAAGTTTTTACCGGTAGAGTATGGTGACATGTTGAAGGAAAAGATATTATCTGGTTTTAGAAAAGTTGGGGCAAAGTGGGCTATGAAGTTTTCAGATGCTGATCAACCAGTACTAGCCTAACTCTGAGTGTTTGGACCAAGTGTCATATTTTTTGTTCAGAACCCTGTAAAGGTTCAGGTAAAGTAAAGGTCATATCTTGATCAGTTAGATTTTGAAGAGGATGTAAGTAGTTGTTCTGTTATCTTGAAACTGATAATTGGTTCTGAATTGTTGATCTATGCCCACATTACATTTTCTTGTGCACTTGTAGTGGATTATTAATGGGGAAGTTTTTTACTTGTGAAAAATGAAGATGGTTTTAGTAGGTATCTCTTATTCATTTGGAATATTTCATATCTTATTCTCTTGCTGCATCTGCAATTTTTTTTTTCTTTCAAAACATAATAAAGTGTTTCTTTCCATTTGAAGGGACCATCGGGCTAGGGATGATTATCGCTCGCCAGTACAGTCTAGATCAATTTCACGATCACCCTCACCACGGGATGGAAGAGACTACAGGAGGTCCCCAAGTCCGAGAGAGAAGGGTCGAAGTGCGCGTGAAGTTAGAGACTACAGGAGGTCCCCAAGTCCGAGGGTGAATGGTCGGAGTCCTCGTGATGTGAGAGAGTATGCATCCAGCAGATCAAGGAGTCCTAGGGGTGGCAGTCGCAGTCCGTCAAGGTCTCGTTCGCGATCATACAGGTAGGTGCCTCTTCCACTTTGTACTCATGTAAAGAATTTCTAGTGTAATCTTAATAAGATTGGTTGAGGCCACTGAGTATGGTCTTAAATTTGCGGAGTATAGTTTCATATTATGTGCGAGAGGTACCCTTATGGAAGTGGAGTTTACGTGGTTGGTGATTGAGGTTCCCTAAAGTTGTGTGCGGGTATGACCCTATATGCTTAAATTGGCTAACCAAATAGGTAACAGTGGTGATAATATCTACAACTATTGCTGTACAGTCATATTTATATCCTATCTATTTAATTACATTGGCTAGACGTAAGCTAACCGAGCACAATGGCGTTATAGGATTCATATAGCCGACCCCACTTAGTGGGAAAATGCTTTGTTGTTGTTGTTGTTGTTGTTGGCTAGACGTAAGCTAGACGTAACTACTGTGGTGATTATTATTATTTTTGGGCTTTGCAGTCCTCGCTGATGCCTGTCGGGTACGTTGGTTGCTGCTTCAAAGTGTACTCTGAGCATTGCTAGCTAGAGTGATATGCTTAGTATTCTGGAAGATAATGAATATTTGGTAAATATGAGGTTTGGACTGTATCGGTTTTCGTCTATGGATTTATTCTATCTATATGTTAGTCGAGTGGATCTACGTTTTCTAATTGATAATTTTGCTGGCATTTCTCACTTTAGTTGCTCCTTGTCTAGTCTCCTTGTATCCGTCCCATTGAGTCTTGTTTGATTTATAAATCCCACGTCCACGCCGAGGAAGGAAGAAGGGGGTATATTTTTCTTTGATATTTCGTAATACTAAAGTTAAAAAGGAAACCAAGGATTGGTTTTTTCATGATTAAACCAATTATTCCATTACAGTACCAACTGCAATACAAGAGAAATCAATCATGCTTTAAAAGGGTGTAAATTTTCCTGCACGGAAAGGAAGCATTTCCCAAGCAACTAGGGGTCGAATTCTCATGCCAATGGGCACTTTTTCTCGAATTCCTCCTGCTCTGTGCGACATAAATCAAACTCATTTGTATTGTAATACATGCACCCGACGTAAGCATCCATCTCCTTTGTGCACCTCTGATGAAGATCTTTCAGCCTGCACGGAGAAATGTCTCGTATTTAGCTGCGTAACAAGGCATACCGCTCGTGAAACTAACAGGATGATCAAATCACAACAAATTCCAAATATGAAAATGTACATATAACGAACGAGATGCTGATATCAAAAAGTTGCGGCAAGAGAACGTAAAGGGAATGATTACGCTTGAAAACTGATCCAATTCAAACGCTGTTAGTTAGGGAGTGTCCACACACCATATACTAACTAATGGTCTGAGAGTGTCTCTATTCAAGCAAAGACCGGCAGGATTTTCTATTTTTTCCTCATGAAAAATGCTTATACGTCATGTAAGAGAATGAGGACGGATGCATACAAACATCACCACCACGGAACAACGAAGAAATGTTTAAGCGGGAAAAAAAATGAAGATATAGAGTTCATAATATAGAAGAAGAACAGGAAAGCAATTGAACAAAAGAACACTATACTATACTGTCATAAAACCCAAGTTCAATATACTATTTGGGTTATACTTTGTAATGGATGCAAGTTGCAACAGAGGAAAATATACAGTATTTCCTGGTACATAAGGGTGACGGGAGTAAGGGCAAAATGAAAGATAATGTATGAAAACAAAAGCAGCTCAAAATCGTTTCTAGTTCCCATTTTATGTGCGTTCTCTACACATTTCTTCCAACTGCTACTCATCACCCTTTTTTTTCCCCTTCTTCGCTCCCCCTTTCTCTATTTCCCCTCTCTATCTAACAAGGAAATATGTATCAAAACGAGAAACAAAAATGGTTACCAAACGGTCTTCCTATGTTAACTTGAGGGTACACGGACTAACGGTCACATAGCAGCCATCAGGTGAATCAAGTCGAATCAAGTTCAACAAGGTATGAAACCAAGTTCCTGAAATCTGCTCCCCACAACTGATATGAAGCTAATGATTTCAAAATTTATGGCATATGATACAAGTCCAAACTCAATTAAGCCTCGGGATTAACCGACTCCAACACCGAGGGTGAACAATTAAGCACAGAAAAGTGTTCAAATACAAAGTATATCCAGCTAGACCTTACAAATTTTGGCATTACCTTCTCCCAATTCTATATTAAACCGCGGTTTATATACGGCTTATTATCTGTTTAGTGTCCTTTAGTTATATTTTCGATTGATCAGTTCTCCGTCTCCCAAAAATTTGAGCATACTGCATAAGCCATGAACCACGTTGAGCTCAATCGAGCAAACCAAGCCTCAATTCACAAAACACCGAAACGTTTCGATTCAAAAGGGTTCACATACAAACAAGTAAGAATTCATAACAAACTCAGAAAATTGAAAAAAAGTAGGAAGCGGATTTGAGATTGGCTTACAGGGTGAGGACGCATCGGGTGACCTGACGACCTTTGTCGAGACACTTGTCGGGGTTCGGGTCCTTCTTCTTGCACTTGAGGAAAGCCACGTTCTCGGCCTGGCAGCTGAACTGAATGTGCTTCGCCGCCGCCGTCAGCACCGCCGACGTTGGGATTGGATCTCCCGCTGGGTCCACCGCGCTCGCCATCTCCAGCTCCTCCTCCGATCGATCCCGACAAAAAAGATCCAAACTTTGAGGCTAAAAAATGTTAATTCGGAAAAGTCCACAAACACCAGGGGACTTGGGAGGGCCGAAAAGAAAAGAAAAGAAAAGATTAAAAGGGCATTTTCGTCTTTCAACAGCCCCTAAACCCTTGCCCTTGAATTCACCGCGGCTTTGCACTCTCGTATTTCAGACTCCATTTCGGCTTTTTGTACCTCTCAGACGATTGCAGCTTACAAAAGTTGAACGGTAAGTCCGAAATTCCTTCAATCATTTCTGCTTTTCCTTTTCTTTTGATTTTCTGTTTACTCGTTTTTTGTTTTGAAATGAGAATGGTTGTAGGAGTTATGTTGTTTTCTGTGATTCGATGGAAGGTTGAACCAGACCCAGAACCAAACCAATCTGACCCTGTTCAAAACCCGCTTGGATTCCCAAAACCCAGTTATTTTTTTCCCAATCTGAAACAGTTTCTGCTCAGAATTCAACTGGGGTTTCTCTAGATTTGGGTAATTTGAGTTGGGTTGCAGCAATTTGAAAGGAGGTTGGATAAAGGTATTATTATGGTTCTAGGGTACTTGTGTTTATGAGTGTTTGTCTAGAGGTAAATATCATATCAATTGAGGGGCAGTGAACTTAAGTGATTACATTTAGAGTGTGTACAAATCACCTCCCTCTCAGATATTATTCAGATTTATGAACCTAAGTGATTACATTTAGAGTGTGTACAAATCACCTCCCTCTCAGATATTATTCAGATTTATGAACCTAAGTGATTACATTTAGAGAAATTCAACCCTTGTTTTTCTGTGGGCTTGGGAAAATGAATCTCAGATTCTCAGCCATGTAAAGCTGTAAACTTGTTTGTGCAAAGGCCTTTGTTGATGTTATGCCTATGTTTATGACTTTCCCCAAGTGGTTCCTTTCGGGGATGCTATTTTACACCTCTCCCCGTGTGATTAGATGGGATTTTCTGTTCTGAGAACTACTTGAATTGATTTGGATTACAGATAGTTGTTGTTCCTCTTGATTATTTTTTCCTTTTTGTTGGGGGGCGATATTGAACCCATATAGGAATTTTGTTTTTGATTGCAGATGCACAAATTTAGTTTGAACATATTTTTATTTGTGTAGTGAAACTTTGTTTTCTGTCACTTTTGATTGGCTTTCTCTTTCTGTTGTTTGAATTAAGGAATGGGTGAAAAGAAGAAGAAGGCTACCTTGTTCATCCGACTTATCTCAGCAGCTGGGACTGGTTTTTTCTATGTCAAGAAGAAGCCAAGTAGGGTCCAAGAGAAGCTTGAGTTCCGGAAATTCGACCCTCGGGTAAATCGTCATGTTCTATTTACCGAGGCAAAAATGAAATGAGCAAGTTGCTAGTGCAATGTGGATTTATTCACTGTTGTCCATCTTTTTGCCATTAGTCCTTGTAGGCACTCTGTTTAAAGGTAGACCCAACTCCTAAAAACTTGAGTTAATTATTTGTGTTTTTTGTTGTATCTTGATGAAAGTTCACACACTCTCTCTCTAGCTGAAGTATAATAAGCTCAAATTTCGATTGCTAATCTACTATTCTCATGCTGTTCGAAAACATGGGTGATTGAAATATTGAAGAGCTTTACGAGGGAGCATTTTGCTCACCACCTATTTATTACCGTTAGTTGAGTTTGAATTTCAAGATTCGTGTAGTGGATAAGCACAAATCTCAAAATTCAAACTCATCTGATGGTGATAAATTGGGTGGTGAGCATACCCTACACTAAATGATGGTGAGCAAAAATGCATTCGCTATATTAAGAGTTAATGTGTTGTGGTTTCTTTTTTGGAAGACCATCATTCTATCATAGCATTGTTATGTCTTCTTTGGTTCTGTGTCTCGGCCATATGATGTTTGCTTTTCTGTCTTATGGTTGTTTTCTGGGTTGTAGTCACTGAGAAAATCTGGCATGTACACATGATGAGAGAGATACCGATTGGGGATAACAGTCCCAGTACCTGAGAATTTGCCCTTGTCACCAGAGTTGGGATTGGAGATTCATCCGCCAAAGTTTGATTAGGTTTTATGTCCCATCTAAAGAGGCAAATGTACATTTCAGGTTGTGTGGGTTTAGATGTTGATGGTCAGTGTACTGATTTCTTGGTGGTAATGGAAAATGTGGGGTACCAAAATCATGAATATCATGAAACCAAGAAGAAACTCGAAACCACGTTAAACATGCCGACCAAAATTGTTGTGCAAAAGCACACTAAAAAAAAAGGTGATCAGCCGGCTCCAAGTCAAATTGTCGTGAAAGGCTACCTACTCATCTCAGCGGCTGGCACCGGATTTTTCCATGTCAAGAAGAAGCCGGTCGAGTAGGGTGCAAGAGAAGCTCGGGCAAAGAGGGCCGCACTTGCCTCTGCTCAGAAGCCAAAAACAAGTTATGGCTTTGAGTATTTTCTTTTAGAGTAAATTGTAGTAATGGTTTTTCAACTTTAATCAAATTGGAGCAATAGTTCATCAACTAAAAATTCATTACCAACGGTCCCTCAACTCATCAAAATGTGTAGCTACGGTCTTTTTTGTCAACTTCGTCAGAATTTTGTCAAAATAAGTTATGTTGGAATGACCATGGCTACAATTGATGTCCCTCAACTCATCAAAACGTGTACCTATGGTTATTTTCGTCAAATTCGTCAGAATTTTGTCAAAATGAGTTATATTGGAAGAACCATTACTACAATTGGATTAAAGTTGAGAGACCATTGCTCCAATTAGGTTAAAAATGAGGGACCATTTCTCCAATTGGATTAAAGTTGAGGGACCAATGCTAATGGATTTTTAGTTGAGGGACCATAGCTGGACGTTTTGATGAGTTGAATGACCAATGGTAATGAATTTTTATTTGACGGACTCTTGCTCCAATTGAGTTAAAGTTAAATGACCAACAACAACAACAACAACAAAGCTTTTTCCCACTAAGTGGGGTCGGCTATATGAATCATAGAACGCCATTGCGCTCGGTTCTGTTATATCCTCCATTAGATCTAAGTACTCTAAGTATTTTCTTAGAGTCTCTTCCAAAGTTTTCCTAGGTCTTCCTTTACCCCTTCGGCCCTGGACCTCTGTCCCGTAGTCGCATCTTCTAACCGGAGCTTCAGTAGACCTTCTTTGCACATGTCCAAACCACCGTAACTGATTTTCTCTCATCTTTCCTTCAATTTCAGCTACTCATACTTTACCTCGGATATCCTCATTCCTAATCTTATCATTTCTTGTGTGCCCACATATCCAACGAAACATCCTCATCTCCGCTACACCAATTTTATGTACGTGTTGATGCTTCACCGCCCAACATTCCGTGCCATACAACATCGCCGACCTTATTGCCGTCCTATAAAATTTTCCTTTGAGCTTCAGTGGCATATAGCAGTCACACAACACACTAGATGCACCCTTCCACTTCATCCATCCAGCTTGTATTCTAGGGTTGAAGTCTCCATCTAATTCTCCGTTCTTTTGCAAGATAGATCCTAGGTAGCGAAAGCGGTCGCTTTTTGGTACTTCCTGATCTCCGATCCTCACCCCTAACTCATTTTGGCCTCCATTTGCACTGAGCTTGCACTCCATATATTTTGTCTTTGATCGGCTTAAGACCTTTAGATTCCAACACTTTTCTCCAAAGGTTAAGCTTCGCATTTACCCCTTCCTGAGTTTCATCTATCAACACTATATCGTCTGCAAAAAGCATACACCAAGGAATATCATCTTGAATATGTCCCGTTAACTCATCCATTACCAATGCAAAAAGGTAAGGACTTAAGGATGAGCCTTGATGTAAACCAACAGTTATGGGGAAGCTTTCGGTTTGTCCTTCATGAGTTCTTACGCAGTCTTTGCTCCATCATACATATCCTTTATAGCTTGGATATATGCTTCTCGTACTCATCTCTTCTCTTAAATCCTCCAACGAATGTTTCTTGGGACTTTATCATACGCTTTTTCCAAATCTATAAAGACCATGTGTAAATCCTTTTTCCTATCTCTATATCTTTCTATCAATATTCGTAAGAGATAGATTGCCTCCATGGTTAAACGCCCTGGCATGAACCCGAATTGGTTGTCCGAAACCCGTGTCTCTTGCCTCAATTTATGCTCAATGACTCTCTCTCAGAGCTTCATTGTATGACTTATTAGCTTAATACCCTTATAGTTCATGCAATTTTGTACGTCACCCTTATTCTTGTAGATAGGCACCAAAGTGCTCTTTCTCCACTCAGTTAAAGTTAAAGGACCATTGCTACAATTTATTCTTTCTTTTATACATGTATCAGGTTCCTGTGTTGACTTCAATTGACTTGGTTGAGATATTGATGGTCTCAATGTACTAGTTTCATGGTGGTAAGTGGACGAATAGCTAGCTGTTTGATGTTTAATAAGTAATTACATAAAACTTTTGAAAGTACAACAATGATTTCTCATTTGTTATTGTAACGACATGTGCTTAAGATAATTTATTCTTGAACTTACATTCCCGTATTTGTATCCCGCTCCTCAAATTTTGTTCTGTGAAACAGAAACGGCTATGGCAGGAATAGGAAAACATGGAGGGTTTGGCATCGAATATGTGCTTAAGATCATTTGTTATTCTTCTTCTGCCGTGGTTCAGCTAAATGTTGAACCCAAACAGTTTCATGAAAAAATTGAAGGTGACTTCATGTCCTTGCAAAGAGTTTATGTCCGAGAAAGTCGGAGCAAAGGAATTAGCAATTTGTTTTTTGAAACCCTAGAGTAAGGCCGACATCGCGCCTTAGGGAACTGTGATCAACATCACTGGGCTTGCTGTAAAAGGAATAGGGATGCAAATGGACTGTATGGAGTATTAGGTGCTGGGCAGAAGGTTGTTAGGGTTGAGGTTTGCGGACACGGCTATGGCAGGAATGCAAAACATGGAGGGTTTGGCATTAAAATTTGGAAGTAGTCTTTTTTTGTCGGAGAGGGAGAAGGGTGGGGTTAAGATCGAAAAGAAGGCGGTGGAAGGATCACTGTTAGGGTTCCATTACAGTGTTGTACCAGAGGTATTTTCAATGAAACCCTGACAATGAGAATGGTTTCATTGACTAGTTCACGAGTCTATGGAGAGGAAGAGAGGGGGTTTCCATTAATGCTTTGGGTGAGGCACAATTCATGGCCCGTTTTATGGGTCGGCGAGATATGTGTCGCGTGTTAGAGGTAGAGAAACCATGGTTATTCAGGCATGATTTGGTTTTGGTTATAGATGATGCTCGTCATAGGCACTGGGGTGGTTGCTAGGGCAATATGCGGCTTGCTTGGTACAATTGTTAAGGTTGATAAGGATGATGGTAGGGATTGCGTTGGCCGTTTCTTACGTGTGAAGATTTCTTTCGACGTCCGATAGTCGCTTATGCGGGGAACTAATGTGGAATTCCCTAAGAATGGAACAATTTGGGTAGACTTTCGGTATGAGGGGCTACTTAACTATTGTCTTATTTGTGGCAAGGTAGGGCAAGTTACTAGATGGTGTAAGGTGGAACGACTTGGGGAGGAGGCATCTGAGGTTAACACAGAGGCTTTATATGCGTTCAAAGGGCTTAATGAGGAGTATGACCTGATAGGGAACTATCTCGTGGGGAGAGGAGATGGGTAGCGGGGACCACATGGGCTGAGTAGTTCGACTTCCTCGTCGAATGGGAGAATCTATGATAATTCAAGTGGAAAACATACTTTAGAGGCGGATGAGAAGGAGAGGTAGTGGTTGGAATGAGAAAGGGCCTTTGATGCATGACTTATTGGCCCATAAGGGTCCATTGCAACTGGTGCAGGGACAATAGAGTTTGTGAATCATCCGGAAGAAGTTGAGGTTAATGGGGAGAGTATTGAAATGTTGCAACCAAGCCGTGATATTGACCTTAATATGTCAATTGTGGGAGCGAATGATGAGGTGTCTGAAGGGGTCCTTGGTAGGGACAGTGTAGATGGGGATATGGACCAAGGTTTATTGTATCAGGATTCAGATTCGTTTAATCTTTTTCCTATCATTGAGGTTGTATCGAAGGATGAGATGAAAAAGATCTGGGAGGATGCTGGTGATGATCAGGCGGTGTTAGAAGATGGTTTGACTCATGTGCACAAGATCCAAAGGTTTGTAGTAGACCAAGCGGAGGCCACCTGTGAGGGGTCTCTGCGATTGCAATGAAAATTATATGTTGGAACTGTTAGGGTATCGGAGGGTAGCGGACCTGACAATTGATGATTTGTTGGAGCAAAATCGGCTCCACTCCCTCGAGGTTGTGGCTTTATTAGAAACTAAAATAATAGTCGAAGGTACCGTTATTGAAGCATAGGTTTGACATGTCATGTATGCATGCTATTGAGCCTAGTGGAATTGCCGGAGGTATGCGTGTCTTTTGGAGGGATGTAAAGGATGTGGTGTTAGTTAAGTATAATGATTTTTTTTATTGAAGTCTTAGTTGAGGATGGGGTGCAACATCTTAGATGGCGATTGGTGGTTGTTTATGCTAGCACGGATGTGCGTAAATGAGCATAACAATTTAAGGTGTTAATGACGCGTATTGCGTGTTATCCTGAGCCATGCTTGTTAATGTGTGATTTCAATGATTTATTATTGGAATCGAAGAAGGAAGGGGTAATGGAAGAACATTTGCTAGCATGAGGTATTTTCAAACTTTTATGGCTCAAGCGAGATTGTTGGACTTGGAATTTGAAGGATACCCTTATACGTGGAGGAATTGATGGGAGAATGGCTTTATACAGGAAAGATTGGATCGTGCGCTTGCTACACTTGATTGGGTTCAATGTTATCAGCAAGCAATAGTAAAACATGTTGTGTTGAAGGGGTCAGACCATGCAATGTTAGTGTTATCAATGGTTGTAAAGCAACCTAGGTGAGCGAAAAGGTTCATGTATGACCCTCGATGGAATCAGGATCCAAAATGTGATAAGGTTGTGCATGAAAATTAGGGTGGTGCACATGGTGTGTCTCATGCACATAACCTGGTGCATAATCTTCGAAAGGTCAAGCAGAGGTTGGTGATGTGGAGGAAAAAGGAGGGGCGCAATGAACATAAGGAAATTTGTCGTTTGAAGGAAGTGCTTCGTGATGCGTATCAGCAACCGGTGTTTGACAGTCATCGGATTTGAGGTTTAGAAGATGA